GCTACCTCATAATAAAATTATCGGGAACATATATCGAGTAGGCCTATAACTAACAAGTACATGAGGTTAGTTTTGGAGGTGAGATAATCTTAAAGTTTTAATCAATACAGTATAAGAGGATATTGCATCACACTATAATCGACTTTTGTTCAATAAATAAGACATAATCATGTCTTATTTAACCAGTATTTCTATATATCAAATAATTAACTTTTTGTTATATAACTAATATTATTTATATTGTATCACACTATGTTGTTGTTGATAATGGAACAAAAGTATCTAGCGATTATAGCTATTAGTAGTATTAATGTTGTTGTTTTTTAGATGATTTAGGACTTTTCATGACGAACCAGTTTCTGACACACACACACACTTGCACACACACACAGACACACACTTGCGCGCGCGCGCACGCACACACACACACACACACACACACACACACACACACACACACACACACACACACACACACACACACACACACACACACACAAACACACACACACACTTGCGCACATACACACACGCACACATACGCGCGCGAACAAAGGCAGGTATATAGACAAATAGAGATTACAAGAAAGAAGAAAGCAAAAGAATAAAAGAGAAATACTGAATAAATATGGAGTTAGTAATCCAAATGCCAACAGGTGGCGCCTTACCAAAAGGAGGGCAGCATCGGGGTAAAAACGCCCCCTGGGTATCACCCTTGGATGATGAGAGAGTAATAAAGCATTATCACGGCACCGAAGGCTGTGGTGCAATTGCTAAAGTTATCTCTCTCCCTTTTGCTCTCCCCCCTCTCTGTACTTCCTTCTTTCTCTCCCTTTTCCCTTCCCTTCTCTTTCTATTTCGCTTTTCCTTTTTTTCTCTGTCCTATATCTTGATCTCTTTCTGTATAATTCTTTTTGCTTGAACGTTTGATTACTGGTTGTCTGGTTTTATTTGCCTTTCTCTCTGCCTCTCTCTCTATCTCCCTCTCTCTCTCTCTCTCTCTCTCTCTCTCTCTCTCTCTCTCTCTCTCTCTCTCTCTCTCTCTCTCTCTCTCTCTCTCTCTCTCTCTCTCTCTCTCACACATTATTGATTGTCAGAGGTAGAACCTAAAGCGCCTCTCTAAGTCCTTCCCATTCAGGAGAAGGATAAAGTCCGTGCAAGCCAAGCGAAAAGTCTCGAGACGTGCCAAGGTGTCGGTAGTAGTGGTAGTAGTCGTAGTAGAAGTAAGCGTATTACTAGGAGTAGTAGCAGCGATAGTAGTAATGGTAATAGTAATAGTAGATGTAGCAGTAGAAGCGCTAGTGGAAGCAGTAATGTTAGTAGTAATGGTATTAAGTAGTGGTAATAGTAATAGCAGTGAGTAGTAGCAGTGGTACTACTGGAAAGAGTGGTGTTCTGGTAGTAATAATAGTAACAATGCTAGTAATAGGGGGCGTAGTAGAAATGGTAATAGCAGCAGTATTAGTGGTAATAAAAGCAAACATAGCAGTAGTAGCAGAAAACATAGTAGTAATAGTAGTTTTAATATATAACAACAATAATAGTCGTAATCATAAAAGAAGAGAAAGGAAGCCAGAACAAAAAAATCAATAAACCAGAGAGAGAGAAACCAACCCCTTATCAGGCAGATCCGTTACGACAAAAATTAATATTGACGCCACAGCAACGCGCTTCCCCGCATTGAATACACACAAGTGAAAGGAATTACAAGCAAAAGTATAGGGAATTTCCATGATTCTCTCTGACTACTTTCTCTTTTCGTCTCTTCTTCCTTCCTTATCTTTATCTCTCATTGCCATGTATCCGTTGCTTTTCTTTTGCCATTTGTTCCTGTCTCTATTCTAAGTTGCTACTCCTGGCGCGTTTGGATCACTTCTTAGGATCTCGTTGAGGTTACCCACGAAGCAAGATGAACTCAAGCAGACACGTGTACTCACAGATGGAAGGGCAACTAGGCAGGTGGATAGATAAACAAATAAAAAAACGATAGACTGACTGGTATACATACACACGTGTGTGTGTGTGTGTGTGTGTGTGTGTGCGTGTGCGTGTGTTTGTGTTTGTGTGTGCGTGTGCGTGTGCGTGTGCGTGTGCGTGTGCGTGTGCGTGTGCGTGTGCGTGTGCGTGTGCGTGTGCGTGTGCGTGTGTTTGTGTTTGTGTGTGTGTGTGTGTGTGTGTGTGTGTGTGTGCGTGCAACGATAGATAAATACGCAGATAAATATATATATATATATATATATATATATATATATATATATATATATATATATATATATATATATGCATATATATATATATATATATATATATATATATATATATATATATATATATATAGATAGATAGATAGATAGATAGATAGATAGATAGATAGATAGATAGATAGATAGATAGATAGATTGATTGATTGATATATGGATAGCTGGATGGATGGATGGATGGATTGATCGATAGATATATAGATAGACTGATAGATATACAGATAAATAGATAGATAGATAGAAAGATAGAGAGAGAGAGAAAGACAAACAAGTACACACACACAAAAGGCAGGAAGAGCACAACAGAAAACAAACAAACAACTAAATCTGCAGACAAGGAAAGAATTATTGGTGCTGTGCACCATTTCCACGAGCCGAATCTGGACGTTACACTGGTGATAATCCTAGACAGGTTGACTGACATTTTCTGTTCAAGGAAAAGAAAATATTATTACGGCGGTGACGTCGATAAAGAAACTCTAGTCACGAAGAAAAAAAAAGAAAAGGAGACTGATGAAGAGATAGATAGACAGATCGATAGACAAATAGACAGACAGATCGATAGACAGATCGATAGACAGATCGATAGACAGATAGATAGCCAGATCGATAGACAGAGATAGACAGATCGACAGACAGATCGATATACACAGATAGACAGAGATACAGACAGAGAGATAGATAGACAGACATATCGATTGGCAGATCGATAGACAGAGGTACAGAAAGACAGACTGACAGATCAATAGACAGAGATACAGATAGATAGATAGACAGATCGATAGATAAGTAAACAGACAGATTGATAGACAGATAGATAGACAGATAGATAGATAGATAGACAGATACATAGACAGATCGATAGACAGATAGATACATCGATAGACAGATAGATACATCGATAGACAGATAGATAGTCAGATCGATAGACAGATAGATACATCGATAGACAGATAGATACATCGATAGACAGATAGATAGTCAGATCGATAGACAGATAGATAGACAGATGAAATGTTATCATTGACTTTGCCACATATTCTCTTTGTCGGTCTATCTAGACAGGCAAAGAGACAAATATGAAAAAGTCATTGATAGCATTTCAGGCGATCCAAATGACAAACAGCTCCTGGGCCATCCGCAAAACTCTTCAAGTATTATAAACACTTATTTCCCAACCTGGAATGGATATAAAACCACAAGCTCGATTTACATTCTGATTTTACACCTGTACTTATCAGGGTTGTCAAAGATTCACGTAGGAGTTGATAGATGCGTCTGCTTGTCTATTTTTTCCCTGGATAATGAATAAACTGAGGTGGTGGTACACACGCACGCTCAGATTGGCACTCGCTCACTCATAAACTAAAACGGTCCCATTTAAACTCACTCGCGATCTCAAAACCACACTCACTCATGCATTCACTGGTATGTGCGCACATGCACGCACTTATAAAACGGAAATGGGGAAGAAAAGAAAAATGATTAGAAGAAAAAGAAAAAGAAGAAGACGTAAAAGAAGAGGAAGTAGTAGTAGTACTACTACTAGTAGTAGTAATGGTAATAGTAGTAATAATAGTAGTTGTAGTTGTAGTAGCAGTAGAAGAAGAGAGAGAGAGAAAGAGAGAGAGAGGAGGAGGGAGGGAGGGAAGGAGGGAAGGAAGGAAGAGAGAGATCTTACCTGTCGTTGGCTTTAGTGATCCAGGAACTTCCTTATTAATGACAGGTAAAGCACCAACACGCACTTATCGACCGTCCGAAGGCCTTTGATGTATTTCACAGGTAAGACAACTTTCTAGAATCCGTTTGTTTTTACAGAAGTTTACCGTATCACGTGACTAATAATTACCCATTTTCTGCAGAACATCTTGGGTCAAATTGGTGTGTCACTTTTTGAATGAATGAATGATTGATTGATTTATGTTTTAATATTTCGACTGTTGTATACTTCTTTAAAAAATCACTGTTTCACTTTTTTTGTTTTCTGTTTGGCAACTATCTACACAGGTAAAAAAAAAGAGGAAAAAAAGAGAGAGAGAAGATATTTTGATGAAAAAGGACACCTCAAAATCACATTGAAATTCTGCAATTTCACTTTTTTTTCCAAACAAACTAAAAAAAAAATACGAATACGGAAAAAAAATAAAAAATAAAAATAAGAAAAAAAAAGTCTTCGAATAGACCACCTGTCTTCTAGCGTCGAAATCAACACGATGGTTCAGGTGCAATCATGGCCTGGCAGGTTAGAGCGTCCGTTCCTGGCCACTGCCGTGTGCACACTGGGCGGCCATCACGGCGAGGGCCCGGCGCTCCTCCCGCACGCCTCCTTCTCCCTCCGACGCCCTCCTCCCTCTCCCTCCGCCCCGCCTCCCTCCTCCCTCTCCCTCCGCCCCGCCTCCCTCCTCCCTCTCCCTCCGCCCCGCCTCCCTCCTCCCTCTCCCTCCGCCCCGCCTCCCTCCTCCCCGCCGGCCTCCTGCTCTCTCTCTCTCTCCCCCCCCCCCATATGCGCTTCCTCCTCCCTCCCTTCTCCCCCCTCCTCCCCGCCATCCATCCGCCCACCCTCCACCTCCCTCCCTTCACGTCCGTACTCCTCCCTCCCTCCCTCCCTCTTCCCAGTCCTCCTACCTCCTCCCCCTCACCCTCTCATCTCCCTCCCGCCTGATGCTCACTCCTCCTCTCCCCTCCCCCTCATTGTACCTGTTCCCTCCTCCCTCCTTTTCCCTCCCTACTGCTCTCCTT